GATAGATTGCCGTATTTAGAGAGGCCTGGTTATATGCAATAGACCCACCCACAGTTTAGTCATACATTATTGATAATCTTATATCTTGACCGAGGTCATGCAGGAATCCCGCACAACGATGTCAGCAGTGAGTTTAATGAAGATTAGAATGGTTGTTGTAGCTCGCAGGTAGTCGAAATTTTGCTCGACAAGAAGATAAGATGGCGCTGACGTTTGTGCTCAAACATCAGCGCTATTGTGCTCTTGACGAGCACATGACGTCTTTGATCAGTAAAGTAGCAACTATCCACAAGGCCGTCGAGAGGTCAATAATCTACATTATTTCAGCCAATCGAAATTAAAATACATTGCCAAAACCATTCATTTTTCATGGACAATTTCTGCAAAGAATATCTTTACCATACGCTGCCATGCGCGTGTACGTCTTCGTCGCCATCTTCGTCCGTGAAGTCAGCTTTTGCTTTGCAGTCAGATTGGGAGAAACAAATTGTACCGTTTTAGACACGAATGGTCGTGAACCACTTTGCACGCCAGCGCATAAGGCTTACACGATCCCCAATAGAGCGCTAAGAAATAATGTCGCACTTGTGGAGAATGAGGCCCACGTTGATGATAATGAAAAGGAAGCAAGAATGCAAAATATAGAACCGCTTGAAGCTTTAATGAAGCCACATCTATCTGGTGATACGATGAAAGAGATGCAAGAAATTTTGAACAACGCTCTCACCATGCCTACGGCTCATTTGGATAAAAACAAAATCGTCGGCAGAAGCTATGATCCGCGTGGCATGCTTCAAGATATGCTTGCAAGGAACCGTGAATTACGTCCCAACGTGATCGTAGAGAAATGGCTTGAACAAGTTGTACACCACAAGAACTTCGATCAAGAACGTGACACGATTTCAGAAAAACTGCTTCTTGCCTTGGAAGAACTCATGCAATCACAGAATGCAGAAGAACTGATGTCCCAAGTGATAACGGTGTTAGAAACTTTTCGAGTCCAGCCAAAATTCAAATCCTTCGCAGAGAATTTCGAGCGACTTATTGTTGTAAAACGAAAGTATAAAGTTTTGGTCTTCCAAAACTGGATAAAGAACATCAATCTGGAAAATGCTTTTCGTATTCTCGTAGGCGTCGGAAAAATCACCAATCATGAAACTCCGCTTCTTTGGGTGTGGTTTGACTACATCCAGTTCGCCTGGCAAGCTATCACTCCCCGTGGAGAACCAAACTACGAAAAAAAAATTTTCAATTTTTAAACCAGAACGTAGGTAATGTAAGAGCGGTTCTCAAGAGACAAGAATTTCAAATGTGCTTTTCGCAGATCGATAAGCATGGGTCACCTTATTATAAAACCATAAGGAGGAAATGGTTTTTGAACGATTGTCTGGTGAAGGGGAGAAATCCGTATTCGGCGTTTTATAATTTGGACAGATATGAACAAGCTATCTCAGAAGAGGATGATCTGAGATTGAAACTCTCTTACATCATTGACTTTAAGAGATCTAATCAATGTCCCGGCACCGTGCTGCTTCAGGGGTTGACTTATAAGCGCACATTTATTCAGCTGGTGGAGAAGATAAAATCACTGAATCACGTCTCGAAAACTTTTTTGGAAGAGGTAGGTGAAATGCTAGACTCAATGATGACCTCCGAAGACGTGTTGACGACGTTGGCGAATGCTGCAGTCACCGCTGAGCAATACAAAAACAACCTTCTTGCTTTAAAGTCTATATATACCAAGTCAGGCCCCACAAAGATTACAACGTTCCAATTCAACAAGCTTTCTGAGCCGACTATCGATGAAGTACTGCAGTCGAGGGTCACCGAATATACTAAGAAATGTAGGCAATTGAAAACACCGGCGTTAGAAGCCGTCGAAGCGCCTAAGCCAAAACGAAATCGAAAACGAAAACATTAAGTGATCAACGGTAGAAGCGAGCTTATGGATGTGATTGAAAGGATTGAACGTGACCAACTGTTTTTGACAGATTGTGCCACGTGCAAGAAAAGCCTTAAGGGTAGTGGCTTGGCAATTCGTGTAACGGCAACGTGTTTGTTGTGCTTTCAGTAGCTATATAGCCGCTTCAAAAGGTAAGACTAAACAGCCTGGCTTCACTCTCATTCAATTCAAGATATGATCCTAAGTGAAGTAAAGTAAAATTTGTATTCTCGACTTATGAAAAGCTGTTACCTTATCAATCTACATTTCAATTCGTCGTCAGTAAAAAAATAATTATTCGCATAGAACGTTTGATCAGCAATGTGCTTTCGGATGATCGCACCACCCACGTTTAGGTCATCGAGTCACAAATTTTCTCAGTTCTCAGCATTCTTTAAATCGATCAAATCGATGTATAGAATACATTAAGTGAAGTTCACAATGTCTTACGTATCGCTAAGATTGATAAAACGCTCGACATAAACGACCTTTTTGAACGTACAAAATACTTAAAAAGCAAAGTATATTATTCCTAAAGCGAAATCAACTTGGACTTTAGCATTCATAAGGCATTACAATCCTAAGTCTTTTCCAATCGCTTGCTTTTAGGATTGAGTCAAAAGACGCCTCAAGATCACGCAAAACGATGATTGTGGGCAGTTGAAGCAACTGCGAACTGAATCGAAGGACAGAGTATGCTTGCGTACCCTATTCCAACGACCACAGAGATTTGACGCGACCGCACTGAAACTCACGAGAAGAAGCGGATCGAATTATGGAAGTCGCTTGCTGCAGAAATTGAAATCATCCACCATGAGATGTAATGGAGCGTTTTCATATGCATTCATCAGAGTACGCTACGTGAAAGTGATCAAGAATAGACAAGCTTTGGAAGAAGCCTCACCTAAGAAGTTTCACGCGTCTTCCTCTTGGCCAGCTTATCATGCTATCGAGAGCAAGCTTCTGAATCAAGGAAAAGATCTTGGAAGCTTGTTTCCGTCTGAATATTCTTAAGATCATAATACGTGTCGCTTCAGAGAGTTCAACATCTTTACCAACCGCTTCTATATCAATGTTAACAGCGAAGACAGCGGCAGCTTCCAGGCAATGGGCGGTCACGCAAAACCGTCAGCCAACACCGCAGTAGGCACGGTCGTTGGTTGATGTGAATGTCCGGCCACTAAGAGTGAAATTATTGCAACTCGTACTTCTGCGGAATACCATTGAACAACAAGCTGCGTACCCAGTAATTTCACAGCGAACTCTGAGCACCAAAGTCCCCTCGAAAGCTAATGTCGCGTTTCCTCGAGCAAATACACGACCAACTACAAGAAGAAGAAAAGTGGACGTGCCATGCGATCAACTCTGGTTTCACAATCCGTAATCACTGTAGCCAATGGAAAACTGCTATAGCTGTTGACGCTGTTGTAATCAGGTTTCGTTAGGTCAACTTGCCAAAGTGTCCATGAAGAGCAGACCGAAGCCCCTCGTGAAACTGCGACAAGCAACTACTTCGATGTGCTCAGAATTGTCGCGACAGACTTGTAACCGCTGCTCGGAGGCTCACGATGACAAGAACAGTCCACTTCCAGAACGTGCCATCGCAAGGTGAAGGCTTCAGCCAAGCTCAGCGAGTCGAAGATATTAGCCATTTCCTAACCAAGCATCACAGCCAGCATTGTGAAGACCGAGAAACCGGCGCCAGTCTAATATTGTTGCGGAGTTGAAGGCAACGGAATAAACCGCAATCTCTAGCTCCTGCCGACTTCAACTTCGCGGGGTCGCGCAAGGTGTTGCGGAACACCAAGAACACATGAATAGAGGCGTACTACGCTTCGTGCCCGGCATCTCTAGCATATTTCATCATGCCGACCCAATAGATGACCGCCACCAGCTCCCAAGTCAGCGACTTGGCACATTCGTATGTGATTAACTGCGTGCTGAGCGTAAGAAGTCGACCACGTTTGCGAACAAATCGGACAAACAGACTGAAGTCAAGTTGAAAAAAAGAGAGACTGATCTAGCGTGTGGCTCAGTGATGGAAGGTGTTATCTGATAGCCCAAAAGAGCTAGTGCAAGCATCCAAAGTATTGGCTCCCTTCGACCTCATGCTCATGTTCACAGCGCCGCGAATCTTAAAGAATGACTATTGGCTCTAGCATGAAACCGGTAGCTTAATCGCGTCAATTTTAGTGCACAATCACCGCCTGTTACGCCCCAACTTGCTCTTAGCGCCGTTGCGATTAAAGCTTGATGCTATAGGATCACGTCCAGCTGTAGGGTCCTTTGATGAACGAACTACTAGCCCTCCGTGCGGGATATGGCTTCTAACCGGAGGATGCAAGCGTGCTTAAGCTGCAGAAGGTAGATAAATCAAGCAAAATCGTGGAAGGTTTTAATTGTATGAAATCTTAAGTTGGTCCAAAAAGTAGCTACGGCCGAGATCTCGTTGCAAAACATCAAGCTGCTGACAGTGAATAAACAATATGATCATAAAGGATGGCTACCTGCCGACAGCACAGCCCTGGCAACCATTCGGTCCGTTGTAGTGCTCACTCTGCTCCGCTCGAACTTCCTAAATTTGACACGGCGTTGGGGCTTCCCGATCTGACTATTCCAGATTGATACCTAGCAGTTTGGGTCCTTTTGTGTATATCCATAGTACTGACAAAAAGATCCTTTTCGACCAACTGCGCATCGGCCTGTTCGAGGACAACGCGTCCCATTTCGTGCTCAGTAATCTCACAACGCCTCTGGATTCATGTATTGAATCACAAAAGCTCTCGTTTCGTATTGGTGCTGGCTCGGTCAACTTGGAGCGGTGGATCCCTGATGCACCACCCTCCAGACATATAACTGTATTCTGGTCCTCATTCATGCAAAAAAACACTACTTAGCCCACTACGTTACACTTCGTTCGATGTCCCAGTAGCGGGGTTGCTGCTCTTGGAGTTTGTCAATATACGTGCTCGAATACCCGGACGTGGTCCAAGCCATCAGGAGAGTGATACACCGCACTTTCCAGGTGACTCAGGTCTCAAGCAACCCAGGGAATGACAAGATGTGATAAAAGAAGTTTAGCTGCAAGCATTGAGCTCAGAAGGAAGCTGTGGTCAAAGAACGCCGCAGGAAGATAGACGAAGCAGCAAACTGATTCCGCAAAAACTGCTAAGTAGTATCTCTGGTTAGCTTCCATACTGCTCTGGGAGCATACACAGACTGTGTGGTGCGATCTAGCTACATACTGCCTTTGACTTATAGTAAAAGCATGCCAATACGTCCCCCGAACAAAATTTTTGACCACTCGACACATCACTCGGGCGTGCCTGCATTTATGAAATCCAAACATCGGTTGGCCGTATCCCCACGACTTTTCAGCCGGGTGCCGAGCTCATGATCCTTTCATCTTGAAGTTTCAGACAACACAGCCAAATGTATACCGCCAACGCACTCCAGCGGTAGTCGAAAGCTATCGGAGACGATCGATTGGCGACTGTCGGTTTGATGACTCGAACATGAAATGCCTTTTTTGGCGGTGATAATGAAGACCGTTTCTTGCGGGTAGTATACAAGGGCTTACAGATCTCCATTATTACCCCCACCGAGTTCGCTTCCAATGTCGGTACGCCAAACTATCCCATTGTGGGCTCGAAATGCTTTGATTTTGCCGTTCGGAGAGTTGACGGACCAAGGCCAAGAAAGCGATGCGTAAGGTTTCTAAGCGTAATTGATTTCGGGTGGCTAACATTAGAAGTCAAAATTGAAACACCTGAACCGCTTGTAATGGTCAACTTCGGCGTTTTTGGTTGTATCGATGTGGATGCACTGCACTGTCGGTTTAGCGTCCCGCGTACGACAGCCGTGCATGGCGTATTGCAGGCGTTTTCTAATGTCAGAAACGTAGATATACCGACAACCTACTAGCCACGGCTCTGCGTATTCCAATGTGGCGACAAGTTTGTCTACTGCTGGATCTGGAATCTCTTCAAAACAATTATTGATAGGCTCAAAGCAACGCAAAGTCAATTTCCACTCAGGCTTGGGTTGGGAATCTGCAAGAAATTCCGGTGCATAGAAGGCCGAGAGTCGGAATTAAGTACTCTATTGGCGTTACTTTTCTTCGGTTTAGGAGCTTTTGGCAGACGTAAGCAAGACGCGGCGATGTATCAGCAACGAGTATGTTCGCACGGAGCCACTTTACTATTCGTGTCTCGTGGTCCTCACTGAAAGGTGGAGGTGGTGCGTCACATTTATTTGAAAACAACGTAAGAGACAGTACGGACAACATTTTACGAAAGGATTTTGTTATAGGTGCTGCCGGGCTTTTTCTTTTCGATCTTGGAAGTCATTTGCCAGCATGTTGCCAAGCCATACAAATTCTTTGACAGCTGCGGGCAAAACCATGTCTTCCTGTTGCTTCACACGATCACAGACCTGCTTTGTCACAGCCTTGTGAGATGCTCACACACGGCACTTTTTACAACGCAACGCGTCACACTGAAGTTTGGTCCTTGGTGTGCCTATTGATTCGC